ATCTCTTACAGACCACAAGAAAAAACAAACACATTACAATTTTCTCATTAAGCCCCCCAAATATTTTCAAAGATGTCAATTTATACGTAACCATTCCCTGAAGCCCCTGTCTTAGTAGGAAGCTAAATAAAATGCTTAAATTTTCCCAGTACTAGATGAGATTCATTCCCTAATCATTTTCTCTGGAGACAAATATAAGTCTCTCCTCAAAGGCAGGAAGATATGCATATGTGGTATGATTTGCAGGGCTAGAAAAATCTTTTCTGCTCTACCCAAAATACTACATGTGTTTTGTCATATTGCCTGATAATTTTATATGAGAGATTTATTCTCTTGAGATACTAGAATGCACATATCTCTGGAATGGTCTCTTCTGCTTTAGTCATATGGCTACTAGTGAACAAAAAAAATATGTTCATTACAGGATAAAGAAAAAAAAGGCCAGTTAACAAATCCCTGGAGCCTGTACTACATCAAACGTTGCTTAGCAATTTCCACAATTTTCTCAGTCTAGTTTACAAGAATAGAGACTAGAGATCAAGGGCATGTTGAATATGTTATATATAGTTGTAAAATGATATTTATTCTGTATTACTATTCTCTCTATATCTATTTAAAAACCAAAGAAATGAAAAGTTAATATGTGAGTGTGATAGGGTGATACTACTTTAGTTGAGTGGTATGGAACGACTTCTCCCCAGATGTCATTTTTAAGTCTTGAATAGGAATTATATCCAGATGTGTAAAAATTTGAAAGAACTTTTCAGGCAGAGAAAAAGAAGTACTTTGTTCCTGAGTTAGTAAGAACTTACTGTGTCAGAGAACAGGTAATTTTTACTTTCACCAATTTATGCCTTTGATTATATTACACCTTAGGAAAGCTACAAGGCCTTCCACAGGTTGGGTCTATTTAAAATTTAATTCTCCGCTGACCCTTTCTTACTATGCACCGTGCTAATCCATTCCTCCCTGACTTCGTATATGCCATTTCTTTTGTTTAATAGCCTCTCATTCATTTGTTCATGTCCAATAAACTGTGATTCATCTCTTCTTAAACTCTACCTCAAGCATTCCTCCCCCCCCTTTTTTTTTAAAGATTTGTTTATTTATACAGACAAGAATTGGGGTACAGGCCAGAGTTGTGGGGGTGAGCGGATTCACCAGAGACAGAGTGGGGAACAGAACAGGCAGATTGCCAGAAATACACTGCTGAGGGGAAAAGCGGGCAAGTCAGGAGAGGTCTGCTGTGTCATGTGGGTAGCTCCCTGGCAGGGCCAGGGATTAAACTAGTGCTGCAGTGGCTGTGGATAGCTTCACAGGTTGCATCTTAACCCCTTGCGCCACCAGGGAGCCCTCAAGCATTCCTCCTTTTAAGAAGCCTTTTCTTACTCTCTCCTTCCCAACACTATAGAATTACTCAAACTTTATGCTACCATTATCTTGTGCATTTGAGACACTGCTTTGCAATCACTAATTTATATGTACACTTATTACTAGTAAATTTATTTAGGACAGATTTTTAGATTCATCCCTGGGTAGATATGGTTCAGTATAGTAGTAGTAGAGTACAGCAGAAATTATGGGAGGAGTGGCAACAGAGATGAGAGGATGAGCTGACCAGTTTGGTGGGCGAAGTCAAAGTTCCCTGATAGTTTCTATCAGGGAACATTTACAGCACCGTACTCTAAGAGATGACATAGATATCATTAAATCCTAAATCATGCAGAATTAAAAATACATACTTGGAACTATTTTTCCCCTTCGAAATCATCTAATATATTGGCAATTGCTCAAGGTCTGAGGAGATAAATGTCTAAGCAATTGACATTTGTACTAAGTTTTTTTCATAGTCAGGGAGACCCTTCCACTCTGCGGCTTCTTAAAGTCGCTGGTGGTATCAATTTACATGATACAAATTTACTGAATGGACTAAGCTAATGAATAAATGTATAAACCTGTATATTCATCCCAGTGTGAATAACTTGTTCAAAGAAAAGAATGAGGAGTTGTAAACCTCTAAATAAAGGATTCATCGTAAATAACCCTGTGACTATGCATCAAATTATTAGAATTTCTCCCAGCAATTCAGAAGGGACTTTTCTCTAATAATTTCTTCTATATTGTATTGAAAACCAGAGCTTCTCTACTTGTTTTAAATCAATAGAAACTGGAGCTTTTGTTTACTGAGTCATTTGCTTTTATCTGGAAAATAAGGTATAGTTTGATATTTTAGGGTTTTTTATATAGTATAATAGAAGATTCTCATTTTCATTGAATACATTTGTTATATGTTTATATATATATACACACACACACATACACACACAGACACCTGCTAATTATTGTAATCAGTGACTTGAAAATAATGTAAGAATATGTGCATATTTGCATCTTTATATAACATATTATTTTTAACTTCAGAAATTATAAAATCATAAAATATAACTATTGACAACTAGTTATAAAAATATTTCACCAGTATTAGAAGGAAAAATGAGCTAACAATTATTATGAAGTAGCTGTATGATATACACTATATGTGTTACATATTACGATTTAAAACAGTATAATTGCTGGTACTATTTCTCCCCTTGTAGAAGAAGAACTGAGATTATATACCTTATTAAACCTGGTCAACTTTTTATAACTTAGACATTCTGAACACAGAATGGAAACATTCATGTTTGAGTTTAGGCCCATGCTCTTTTCAATGCTTTCTGTACGGCTTTATTCTGCCCCTGGACAAGTGTAACAGCATTTTCTAGACTGAGTTTATCCTTTTTCATCTATAAAAGAAGAATGTTGGCCTATCTTAGCATTCCCCACAAAGTATTAAACAATCAGTGATTGGTTTCACCACACATCAGTTTTTAAATGTTCTATGTTCATTTTTACTTACTATAAAACAATGGAATAATTATTAATCAGTGATTGTCAAAGTTTTATTAATTTAAACAGCTGTCTACATCTGAAAAATACCAGTAGTGACAATAACATAGAGAGCTTCGTTTTGAAAAATAAATTGAACCTGAAAGTAGACCAAAAACACATGAGAAGGTGTGGAACACATGTATGTGAGGGGAAGCTGGCCTGGAGTCATCTTAAATGTACTTTATTTGAAAGAGTTGCCTTAAAAGTTACTCCTTAGAGTTTGTGGAGAGACTGGCTGATGAGAGAGAAATCATAGTAATATGCAGGTGAGAGATGCCTACCAGTGAATGGGGAGAGGAGAAAATGGTTTGAAGAACCCTGCAAGGAACTGAAGTACCCTAAAGGGAGAAAAGACCAAGACTCAGCTTTGACTACTCCCAAACCCAGAAACAATGATGGCGGTTCACAAAAGTACCAGCCTGCAGGAGTTTTCCCATGGCCCCAGCTCTCCTCCCTCCACCATCTTGAACCCTGTATGGTCAGAAACTGCATGTTAGCAATTGAAAGGAAGAAAGACACATAGAGAAAATAGTGGCGTATCTACCTGTGCCATACTGTATGCTACAGGTCTGCCTTTTCTTCTTGCATGGCTGATTCGGTGAGTGCAGAAACTTTAATTTTAAATGAAGATTGGATTTTTTTTTTTTTTTACTATAACTATATGTATGATTTCTGGAACTGAAATAGTTTAGTGACTAAAGCATGAGGAGGATTTTTATTATTTAAGATAGCTATGGGGCACCAGCCAAGATCCCAAGAAGGAGAATTACCCTATAGGGCATACTTGTGACATTATTATGAGAGAAAACAGTTACCTGTTTTCAGGTAATGATTTCATTTATCAATTTTATAGTATCTTTATATATACATTTATATCCCTCTATCATCTGGAGCACGTCTTTTGCAGAGATTTTTTTTTAAATTCTGTTTAGTTCTTCTATTAAATATATTCTTAAATGCTTTAGCTAGAAGCAAATAAAGGTAAAGATTTTATATCCAAGAAGTTTCCTTTATATAATTGGAGAAAATTGTATTTCATCTAAACCCCCATGTCATGTGATATATATGGTGCCCTATCATACTTGCATCTGGATGTTTATAAAATACAATCTCAAATCAACAGAAACAGAATTAGATTTGAAAAAAAAAAAGTACTCAATAAGATATGTAACATGAGGTAGAATTAACTTTAATTGAAGTCAGAGAGGATTTGAAATTAGATATAAATCTGTAATGTGATATTATATTAGATATGAGTTATATTAGATTTACATTCAGAATAATATGTTCACTTATGAGTACCATTTGACAGAACATTAAAAGATATCCTATCTTTAGTCTCTCATAATGTCTCCTGACACCTAAATGTCATTGAACACTTTGTCAGTCTTTATTATCAAAATTAAAGACTGGTTTTGAAACTTTCTGAGAACATAATATTTATATTTTTGTGGGAGATAGAATATAATACAGGAGACTGTTTCTTAAGTGGTAATTTAACATCTTAAAAGCTAACCTATTAAGTACTTAATTTCAGATATTAATGCTAACAAGGATATACAAAAGAGTTTCTTAAGCAAATGTTACATAATTTAATGGATGCATTTAAGGCTTAGTATGTGAGCGTAAAAGTAATGTTATTTGAAACTAGTGTTGAAAGTTGTGATGCAGGGAATAAAGAATGTAGAATATATTATTTTATTAACAATGACTATCTATGAAAAAATAAAATCCTCAAGTGTAGCAAAAGTGAATAGTTCATTCAGTATTACTCTGACAATTTAGGCTGCTAACAAAAAGTGGTTTTAATTATATAGTATTCTTAATAGTCTTAAGTTCCTGTCTATGAGCTCTTCTCCACTTCCTCCTCACGATTAGAACCCCTTTCTGTCAGATTAGCAATGTACCTTGGTAAAATATTCACCTTCTCAGACTCTGCTAAACTAGAGGAGCCAGAAAAAAAAAAAAAATGTGTAGGCAGTGAGATACAAGTATGGAACTGCCAGAGGCCTCTGGGAATATTTTTTATTTTTCTAATAGAGACTCTTTGTCCTTTTTTCTTTCTTCAGCCTAGAGCACAACTGAAGAAGAAGAAGTCATCTTGCCCACATGATTTGACTAGCATGAAGATAAAGGCTTTCCTGCGAGGTTAATGGAGCAAAATGACAGAAGGGACTTAGACTCCCTTTCTTCGGACTTCTTGTTTTGTGAGGAAAATAAAAATGCTATTACAAGGTCAAACAGTTATTGGCTTATATTTCATGCATCTAAATACATCACAATTCATATAACATATAAATTGTAACAGCAGTCTTTTGAAATTTTTGAAATTGAGATAACATTGGCTAACAACACTGAATATGATTAAGTGAAATAGATTCATGTATCTTCAGATGTATGTTACCACAGCACACCCACCATCAAAACACCATAATCTCCCTCCATAGACCACTGCTCCCCCTCCCACCTTTGTTTACATTTCCCATCTCTCCCCTTCTAGTAGGCTCAACTCTACAGTCATATCTTATGGGTTTTGATTTAGTTTTATCTGTTCTTTTTTCGTTTTCTTTATATTCGCATAAGAGTGAAAATATTTTGAAGTGACAAGATTTCATCTCTTTATAGCTGAGTAGTATCCCATTGTGAATATGTACGACGTCTTCTTAATCCACTTAGTGGTCCTTGGGCATTTTGGTGGCTTCTATAATTTGAATATTGTAAATAGCGCTGCAGTTAACATAGGGGTGCATATATACCTTTGTGTTACTGTTTTTGCATTCTGTGATTATGTATCAAGGAGTAGAATTGCTAGATAATATGTTATATCTATTTTTAGTATTTGGAGGAATGACCACATATTGTTTTCCATAAGGACTGGACCAGTCTACATTTCCACCAATAGCATACAAAGTTTACTTTTTCTCCAAACCCCTGCTAACACATTTCTGGGTTTTTGATGTGAGCCATTCCTCACAAATATGAATTGGTATATAATGTTAGTTTTGACTGCATATCCCTGATAAGTAGTATTAAATTTTTTTTGTTTATGTGCCTTTGGTCATCTGTGGGTATTCTGTGACGTGTCTATTTAGCTTTTCTTCCTATCTTTTGATTGGGTTGTTTGTTTTCTTTTTCTTGATATATGAATTCTTTGTAGAACTTGAGTATTATCCATACATTGGATGTATGATATACAATTATTTATCCCATTTGGTAGATTGTCTTTTGTTTTATGACAGTTTTATTTTACTGTGAAAAATCTTTTTAGTTTGATATAGTCTCATTTGTTTATTTTTGCTTTCCTTTCTCTTGCCATTAAGTGCTCAAAGTCATCCCTGAGGCCACTGATTTGGAAAATGTTGCCTATGACTTCTCCTATGTATTTTGTAATTTCAGGACTTACATCTAATTCTTTAATCCAATTTGAGTCCATTTTTGTGAATTATATGAGAAAATCGTCTAGTTTCATTTTATTGCATGTGATAGTCTAATTTTCCCAGTGCCATTTGTTGAAGAAACTTTCCTTTTTTCCACTGATATACTTGAGATCTTTGTCCTAGATTAACTGTAATCATATAAGTTTGGGTTTATTTCTGGATGATCAGATCTATTCCATTGGTCTGTGAGTCTATTTTTATGCCAATACCATTGTTTGTTTTACTTCCTTCTTTGATAGGTCATTATTTGCATATAAGAGTGCAATAGACTTTTACATATTGACTTTGTACCCTTTAACTTTTCTGTTTTAATGTTCCTAATAGTTTTTTAGTGTAGTATTAGGATTTTATATGTATATTATTTTGTCTTCTGCAAGTAGTGATAGTATTCTCTCCCAATTTGGATATTTTTTCTTTCTCTTGTGTAATTACTCTAGCTAATATGTACAATACTATGTTGGGTAGTAATGGTGAGAGTGAACATCCCTGTCATGTCCCTAATCTTAGAGGAAAAGCTTTCAGTTTTTCAACAGTGAGTATGATGGTAGCTGGGTTTGCCACAGAAGACTACTATATTGAGGTATGTCCCTGCTATGCCCATTTTGGGGGATAGTTTTTATAATAAATGAATGCTGAATCTTATCAAATATCATTTCTGCAATTGTTGATATTATTATATGATTTTTGTCTTTCCTTTTGTTTATATGGTGAATTACATTGATTTATTTGCATATGTTAGACCATCCTTGCATCCCTGGGATAAATTCCTGGTCATGATGTATGATCCTTTTATTATTGAATTCATTTCACTAAGATGTTGAGGTTTATTGCATACACCTTAAGGAACTAGAGAAAGAAGAGCAAATGAAATAAAAATTCATCAGAAGATATTAATTAAAAAAAAGAGTGAAAATATACAAAATAAAAATCTAAAAGACATTTCAAAATATCTGTGAAAATAGTAGCTGGTTCTTTTAAAAATAATAAGCAAAAGAGATAAAACTCTAGCTAGAATCACTAAGAAAAACAAGAAAACTCTAGTAAGTAGAATCGGAAAGGGGAGAAGTTACAGCAGACATCACAGAAATACAGAGAACCAGAAGACACTACTGTGAGCATGTTATGCCAGCAAATTGGAAAATCTGGATAAATGCACAGATTCTTAGACACATACAACCTTCTGAGACTGAATCAGGAAAAAATACAAAATCCGAACAAACCATTTATAAAAAAGGAGATTGAAACAATAATCAAACAGTAATCAAAAGTCTCCCCAAAACAAAGACCCAGGACCAGATGGTGTCACTAGTGAGTTTTGCCAACCCTTCAAAGAGAAACTCACGCTTACCCTTCTCAAACTGTTCCAAAAAATTAAAGAAAATGAATGCTTCCCAACACTTTAAAAGTATGCATTTTAAATGATTATTCTCATGGATTAAGGCTTAAAGTTTAAGACTTACAGACATGTAACCAATCAAATCTCAGAAACATTATAGTTCTTTAAGTATTTGTGATCCCCTAGAGTGATATATAAATTGAATGCAATTCCCACAAAAATCCCAGTATATTTTTCAAAGAAATAGCGGATATTGTTGAATTTATCTGTAACCACCTAAAGCCTTGAATTGGAGAGAAACCCTGAGAAAAAGGGAGAAATAACAGTATCATACCACCGGACTTAAAACCTTACTATAAAGCAATCATATTAAAAACAGTATAATATTGGTACAAAAAACAGATATATGGGCCAATGGAACAGAGTAAAAGTCTAGAAATAATTCCATTTACATACTAGCATCTGATCTACGATAAAGCATCCAAGACGATAAGATCAGGAAAAGACAGTCTCCTTAGTTAATGAAAAATTGAAAGCCACACATAAAACAATGGCATTGGGTTATTTGCTTACACCATACACACACACACAAAATTCCAAATGGATTAAAGATTTAGATATGAGACCTGCAACAGGGCTTCCCCTGGTGGCACAGGTGGTTGAACACAGCACTGTGAAGCTGTCAGCAGCCTCTGCAGTGTGAGTTCAATCCTGGCCAGCTGGCGAGATACCCACATGGTGTGGCAGACCTCTCCTATCTCACCCCCTACTCCCCTCAGCAGTGTCTTTCAGTCAGTCTGCCTGTTCTGTTCCAACTCTGTCTCTGGTGAATCCTCTCACCCCCCCACCCCCTGCACATCTGACTTGTACCCTGGTTCTTGTATGCATGAATAAATAAATCTTAAAAAAATGACCTGCAACAATAAAATACATAGAAGAAACATTTGTGATATTCAATGATAACAACAATAAACGTTTTGGTGACTAAACCCCTATGGCAAGGGAATTAAAAACCAAAATAAAAATATGGGATTACCTCAAGTTAAAAAGCTTCTTACCACAAAAGAAAGTACAATTAAATAGACACTGTACTGAATTAGAAAAAATATTCACACAATAACTGATAAGGGATTAATATCTAAGATATATAAAAAATTCATACACGTCTACAATAAAAAAGCAAATAACCCAATTAAGAAACAGCAGTTATGAATAGAGAATTTTCCAAAGAGGATATCCAAACGGCCAAAAGACATGAGAAAAAAACGTTCATTGTCACTTCTATAAGAGATAGGCAGGGCCTCCCTGGTGGCACAGCGGTTGAGCGCTGGGTTGCAAAGCTGCCCGCGGCCTCAGCAGCGCTGGTTCGATCCCCGGCTGCTCCCCGGCCACCGGAGGAGGGTCCCACATGGCGCGCAGACCTCTCCTGCTGCCCGCTGCTCCCCTCAGCAGTGTACCTCGGTCCTTCTGCCTGCTCTGCTCCCCGCTCTGGCTCTGGTGAATTCTCTCAACCTCCCGCGCTTCTGACTGTACCCAGTGCTTGTATAAATAAATAAATAAATCTTAAAAAAAAAGAGAGAGAGATGCAGATTAGAACTACAATGGACACATATCAAAAAGACCCCCCAACAAGAAGTGATGGAGAGAATGTGGAGAAAAGTGAGAATTTTAACTAGTGCAACCATTATGGAAAGAAATCTGGATTTATCTTTAAAAACTAAATGGAAATACAATACAACCTAATAATTCCATTTTTGGACATACAACCAAAAAAAAAAAAAAAACACCCTATGTTCCACAGTGTTCACAGCAACATTATTTACTATATGTAGGACACAGAAGTATCCTAAATTTTCATCCACAGACAATTAGATTAGCAAGATATGACATATACACATCATGGAGTATTAGCCATAAGAAAGTGAAATGCAGCTATTTTCAACAAAAGAGGGAATTTGAGAGAATTGTGTATAGCAAAGCAAGTTAGAACAATAACATACTGGACATTTATGTAACAGACAATTTGACAATGTAAAACATTTTCGAGAACTAGTGAATATTAATAAAGATTCTCAGGGTTCAAGTTAAAAGGGGAAAAAAAGGACACAGACAAGTGGACACAAGAGTTGGTAGTGGAAAGAACAAAAAAAAAATTCTTCAGGATTTGACAAAGGGAGATGGTCTCTAAAATACTTACTGAAAATATTTTGCTATAAGAACAAGAATAAATTATTTTAAAATATTTAGAACTGAAGCAATGTAGTTCAAAATATTTAGTAAAAGATATCCTAATAAACTGTAATGATAAGAAAGAATGAAACTATCTTATTAACATCCAGGCAGGCCCCAGTGAATAATGTGAATGAAATTCATAAGGCTACCAGTAATTCTTAGGGAAACTTGCTCATCTTTTGTTGCATCAGAGCCAAGCATGTTGAAAATCAGGCTCAGAATCTAATGAAAGGATGGTAGAACTGCAACAATCCCAGAATGCTTAGCTTTAAGAGTTCCTTAGCTAAAGTTAATGATTTTATAGGAAAGGGATGGGGCATAGAGGCCAAGAAGAGGGTTATTTAGGTAGAAAAAAAAAACCAATATCTTGAATTTTCAATTTTCTTGCATTATCAAGACCAGCAATGCTCTTCCCTCTGCCACAAGGAGACTATGCAATGATAACATCTGAGGCAGGTGCTTCTTAACATAGCAAAGTCCCTCATGACCAACCCATCTCCTTTCATTGCCGCTGGTCAATAGAGAAGCCTCAGCATAATCTGGGCTGGGAAGTATAGTTCATGTCTAAAATGGAAATGCACCAAAGGAATTGACACACCTAATTAGTAAGTACAGGAAGAATCTTGAAATGCAAGTGTGAGAATACTTCATCAGAGAGTTATAGGGGTAGAACATAAGGCTGAATATGGGGGAGATTATTGAATAGAAGCAATTATCCAAGTCTCAGAAGTTGACGATATGGCAATGAAAGTGATGTCTACCCCAAAATGTTTTGCTAAGATAGCTCCTTGAAGCTTTAATATAGCAAAGATGATATAAAATCTGGAACTTTCTTACATGTTACTATGGAAGAATTCAGAAGAAACAAGGGAATAGGAATGTTAGAATAGATTTACTATGTAAAACCTGAGCACCCATAACTTGATAAAGATCCTGGGTGGATCCAGAAGACAAACCATAAGGAGTGCAATGCTGAGGTGTCTACATCTTTAAAAAGCTTAACTGGTGGTAGCTCCACTCGACAAGCTCTGATTGATTGTGGTTAAAATTGAACTGGGCTGTTTAATGTTGATGGGAATGAGGGCAAAACATAGCACTCAGTTGTAGGAGGCAAGGTTGATGTAATCAGCAGACTTGCCATCTAATTACCTTGATCTTCAGGCACTTAATATCAATAGCTATTATGTCATGATATTAACTTTAAGTGAAGATAATAAACTAATAGATTATATTAGCTCAAGCATAAGGTGATAGATAATAGGTTTTAGTATTCTTAGACATAAAACAAATGGGTAGATGCCTATAAGAAAGGGAAAGAAAGTAAACAAATGAAGATAGGCACAAGATTAACATCATTTGGTGAAATAGGAAATTATGAATACTTATGCAATTTACAGATAAATTAGTTCTTAAATTCAGAACTCATTGATTGAAGCACATGGTCCTCTTGAGAAAGAAGCCTGCAATTCCACATTAAATTTGTATAATAAATATCCCCGTAATTATTCCCTAAAGGAACCTGGTACTATTTGCAAGTAAATAAGATGGGGCTGGACCTCCTTGTTGGCACAGGGGTTAGTCTCGGCGCTATCAAGCTATAGCCAGCCACTCTAACCTGAGTTCAACCCTTGGCCAGGGAACTGACCCACATGGCACAGCTGACCTCTCCTGTGTTGCCTGCTGTTCCCCTCAGCAGTGTATTTCAGTAGATTTTCTGTTCTCCTCACTCTGTCTATGGTGAATCCTCCCTCCTCCTTCACCTTTGACCTACACCTCAGTTCTTCTATGCAAAATTAAATAAAATCTTAAAAAAAAAAAAGGGTATAGAGACTAAGAAGAGGGAAAATCCAGAAATTTCTAGGACAAGTAAACATAAAACTGAACTCACACTGATCCCATGAGATCTGAAACACCACCAGGGTTCTCAATGAAAGGCCGTTTATAAAGGTCAGGTGGGGTTTGGCTCAAGTCCATTTCCCAGTGTATCCAAGTATCCTTGGGCTTAACCTATCATTATTTCTTTGATTCCCATGTTCATGATTGAGAGGGAAATACTTAGTACCTGGCAGAACCTATACATCATTGCCTGTGGAATAAGAGTCACTAGGATGTCAAGAACCAAGTAAAAACCCCAGAAACATATTCCCTTACTTAGCAAATTTATAAGTCAGAGTAATACTTTATTCTGGAAGGAAATGCTGAGTTTAATACCACTTCCAAAGACTTAGAGGATATAGGGGTGATGGTCTACATAATATTTCTATTCAATTTGCCCATATGTACTCTGTAGAAATGAAATGGATTTTGGCAGATGTATATTACTATAAATTTATCCAAGTGGCAAGCCAATCACAGCTGCTGTATTATACCATCTGTCACAGAGGCTGCTATTGAGGCTACCACTTGGTTAAGTGATAGTAGATTAACGCAGACTTTGGCACTTCTTATAGGATCTTCATATATATGTATATATATATATATATAAGTATATTCTGTTGGTGAGAACAGAAGTTCACATTTACTTCCTAGCCTGTAGCTGTGCTAACTATCCTGCTCTCTGTCACAGCAGAGAATTCAGGTTATCTTGATCTTTGCGACAATCCACAGAGCATAGAAGCAGACACATACATTGATGACATTACAATAATTGGACTTGGCGAGCAGAAAGTGGAAACTTCACTACTATGCTAGATAGACACTGTCAGAGGGTGCATGATAAAGCCTTGAAGATTCCAGTGACTGCCATATTTTTGGAGGTCCAGTGTTCTGTGATAACCATACCATTCCATCTGAGATTAAAAACAAAGTTTCATATTTTGCACTTGACACCCTGATAGAGGTATAGCATTTGATAGGTCTCTTCTGATTTTGAAAGACACACATGCTGAACTTGAGAATCTTCTCTGACCCCGTATTTTGTGGCTTGGAAGCTGTCAGCTTTGAAAGGAACCTAGAGGAAGAGAAGATTCTGCAGAAGGTACAGCCTGAGGTGTCTAGGCACTTGGGCTTTATCACTCAGCAGGCTGGGTGGAGATAAAAATATCTATGAAAAAAAGATTTTGCTGTGCAGTCTGGTAAGTTTCTAGAACTTGAAGATCATGCGTTCTCTGTCAGATTGTTATTCTCATTTTAAATAAACATTCCCAACATAATACTGGCTTTTACTAGAAACTGATAACCTGACAATGGTTACTAACAGACTATGCAACTGGAGTTTCCTTTATTGAGCTGAGTATTATCAGATCCATAATTTCATAAGGTTTGGCAGGTGAAGAAACAGCATCTTGATTTAAACCTGAGCATATCCAGAATGTACTAGTAAATCACAAAAACAGATGACCCAGACTT